AGTGCACTCACGACAAAGTGCACGTCAAGAAACCAAGGGGCGAAGATTACCTGAACACTACCAACAACTAAGCTTTAGAGAGAAGGCACAGGTGCGGCACGAAGGATGTAAATTTTTGGAAACCCAGAACCAAAGAACGAAGACCTTATTTATAAACTAACACGCCGATTCGCCAACCAATTAGGAGAGAACACGTCGCTAAGAATGATTACAGGGACACGTGTCACGCAGAGAAACACCAACAAGCAATCATAACGATTGTCGGGAAATTGAAACGGCAGCCGCAGAAAACCGTCAAAATTATGCCTCGGGAACTAGCGAAATCCCGTCCATTACATACCCGAGCAGCGTTTGGGCAATATTCCTCTACTTCCTTATGCACTCACTACCGTTCGAGATATAGGAAGTGGGGGACTCGTGTTGGGGTATTGGGCCCAAGCCCAATACATTCGGCTCAAAGCATAAAATAAGCCCAGGGCAAACAGGAAGCCCAACGCAATCAGAAAGGTCCAAGACGTCCCGAACAGCATGTACCCGAACAACATTCGGGTAAATTTGTTCACTTGAGACAGTTAAAACAAAGTACTGATATCCAAACACCCCCAAAGGGGTCTCGCACGCCGAACGCACTACCCGGGCGGGTAATTAGCAAGTGAGAGCTGCATTTAATGTTGAATTATGGCAATAGCAAGTAGAGGCATGGGTGCATTTCGTGGCAGAGGGAACAACCTACCGGTTTCTGCCACGTGTCCATCTCACCTATCCCCTCTTAGTATAAATACCTGCATTGAATACATTGTAAAGGGTTAGCAATTTCATACTCAAAGCTTAGCAATAGAATCGTTTCTCTGGTGTTGTATTTAAACTCATGCTGACCTACCGTTCGGGCAGTTTCATTGTAATCACAGAATTACATAATACAATTAGCTTCTGAGTAAATCTAAATTCACTGTTTTATATTTTATACACTTTTTTTTATACCAAGACTAAGATCCTTAAATATCCAAAGCGTGTGTTGGGCTTTCGGATCTACGGGACAAAACCTCAACATATTTGAAAAGAGGAAACTGGGTTAGTTCTTAAGAGAAGCTAATTAGTAATTTCATCTCTGTATAATTCCTTTTCCTCAAGTGATCAGTTCAAATAGACTCCAGTTTCTCAAGTTTCATTCTCATCTTGAGTTCAGGTTGAGTTCAAATAGCCACGGGCCCTAAGCAACGTGCATGACATGAGTCAGTCGAGTACTTTTTTACGCCTTGGGTGGATTACCCTATCGCCTTGAGTGCACCTCACGATTTTGACTGCCTTTGTTTAATATATTTAATTCAAATCCAAATTATGTTTATAAAATCTATTTAAATTGCTAAAGTACTGATACCAAGAAAACAACTTGATTACTTTGACAATTATTAATAATATTGTTTCCCTCAAACTCTTACTTTTCACAAAGCACTACGACCCGATAAATATATGGCTATTTCTCAGCTCCAAGCAACACAATTTTGTGTTTCTTACTATTTGATATGAATCTTATCGTATTATTATGGTTATTATAGTCGTCTTTGTTGCTTTATTTATAACTACAAACATTTTCATAATTAACTTTATCTATCAATTTCTAACAAATTATGTACTACGTATACAAATAGTTTAATCGAATTACTCAAGCATTCACTCAACATAACCTGATGAAGTAATATGCCCACAATGTCCTTGGGCATTTACATGCACGCGCATCGCGCGTTACTAAACTAGTTACTAGTATACAACAAGTTAAGAGATATACTTATTGGTAGTTATACGAACTGGCAGTTCTATGGTGGTGCCAAATTACTATATCAAATATGAATATTAAAGACTTAAATAAAGAGAACAACATAGATTCATAACCACAATTGGTAAATACACAAACTGCCCAAACATTAAAACCACACTTTAGTGTTAAACCACAACCAAAATATAAGACAAAATACATGTGGTGTGAAGTACGAGATCCTCATAATGATGCAGAATATTACAAACCCATGCAACACAAATTCATCTATCTAAACATCATACTACAAACTGCAATGATGCCCAAATCCTAAGTACATGATATCACAAACTGAAATTGCTGCCTGAATCGGAAATTTGACTTAGTTGACAAATGTTGGGCCCACAAGTTGACCTTTGTGCCATTTTTTTTGTTCTCCAGACTGGCCTAGAACCTGAAACAGACAATGATAACATATAAGATACATAAATTACTCATACACAACCAAAATCGAGTATAATTAAACATTACATGTGTGTATATCGACCATCATTAGCAGCAAATACCTCGAATCCATCAGGCACCGGGAAAAGGAACTCATGAGTATTAAAGCACACCAGAAGAACTCAAATCAAACCACCTCAAATATCCATTGCAGCCATCTACACAAAATAAAATAAACAAAAAATTAGCATTACCTTAATTACACCACATCTCTTAGCTTTTTCAATAACACTTATAAAATACTCTCAATATTAGTAAGAACCTCATTAGAAACTAAATTAACTTCTTAAAAAGTTTACTATCGCATGGTAAGAAACTTCAGTTAAAACGGACTTCATTATCACTCAAAACCTGGTTTCAATTTTACTAACTAAGATTTATCCCCATCCCACCTGTCCAAGATGCATCACGTTGTCTGAATTTTTACATCATTTTTACTTCACTCATCCATTTCGATTTTGTCTGATTCATCGAGATGGTTTTTACCTCTTACATATGAATTGAACCAGGAAGTTGGAAGTGGGTGCAGACGTTATAGTTTTTTACTTGGTCTGCCTTTGCCCTCCTGTATTCTTTCTTTTCCCTTGGTTTGGCATTAGACATATATATACGCTGCCATTTTGGCAAAATTTGGGCAAAATTTCGCATGACTTTATAAGGAAAATTTTAACTGGGTAAAATCTAAATTATTATTTGGTTATATTATTTGGTTGAGCCCTCCTCATGGAATAGACCACTTGATATATATATTTGAGTAATTGTAAGAAGCACTTAGAGAGAAAAACATGTGAACAAAAAGTTCATCCCATTTGTGTTAATATAAATTAAAAAACTAGCCAAGGTTTTCCTTTCGTGATGTAGTGATAATATTCAGCTTTTCCTTTACATATTAGAGTGTGTGCTAACATCAGATACAAAAAAAAAAGAACGATACAGTTGGAGAAACAATATATGGTTCAAGTTACTGGGTATATTGCATTGAATATAATATTTGTTGTTTCTTTGTACTCCCTCCATTTCTATTTGTTTGACACACTTTCCTTTTGGTAAACAATGAATGCCACACTTCTTTATTTTCTTATTTTGTAAACAAATCTTTAACTAAACAGTGCAAAACAGTGTCAAACAATGTTTAAACAGTGCCAAACAGTGTTCAAATAGTGCCAAACAGTGTTCAAACAGTGCCAAACTATGTCAAAGAAATAGAAACGAAGGTAGTATTAGGTTACACAATGTGACCTCTAACTGAGCTTGACTTTTATAGGACCTTATAAAGATGTATTCCATATACTGATATACGTATTTATAATATTGGGCATCTACCCAATCGCGCAACGCGCGGTAAAAACTAGTAAAAGAATAAGAACGAAGCATAGATTCCTCAAATAATCATTTCAATTACTTTAGGAACGAATCATAGATGCCTTCAGGAACGAAGTAATTCTTTGTTCACACCCCTTTAATTTATCATCAAATTGCAGGCATGTAATAGTTGCTAATTAAATTAAAAGAATACCTCGATGCATCGTGCTTTGAACCAGCTGCGGAGAAACTTTCGTGGGTGACGTTCTGAACTTGTGAATACCTAGTTTATTCTTTGGCTTTTTAAGCGGTGGAATTTTTTTGTTTTGGCGGATATTTTTGGTTTGCCGCCTTCGGTTACCGCTAAAAAGTCTCCGTAAATAGTTGATTTTTGCTGAATCACGATGTTTGATACGCTTGCTGAACCGAGACAGACCATGAGACACTTTCTACTCTTTCCATTTCCACCTCAGCACCAGTTAAAAAATAAACAGGACTATTGGAGAAGATATTTATATCACACTGTCTATTTAATATATGTGGTCATCCATTTGTAGCAATAGGCATTAGACAGCACCACTAAAGTTGCTCTTAGTAGGGCTGCACAAGAATAACCCGAACCCGCATAACCCGCCCGACCTAACCCTACCCGACCCGACCCTATTTAATCGGGTATTTGATTTTTAAAAATATTCATGGGTTAAATATGTTTGAACCCACACCTAATGGGTAGGGTTGCAGAATTAAAATCTCAAACCCGATAGTACCCGACCCGACCGAGGTTCATTTTACTATTATTATGCTATAACGTTTTCTTGGATAATTTCAATTTAAGACCAATGTGCTCTATCTAGGACTTTATGATATTAGAATTATAATTAAACATTTATCATTTTGACTAGGTGATTATAATATATTTACGTATCATTCTAAATGAACTTCCTTTATGGAAGGATGTTTTAATGCTATTACCTAATGTTTTTGCTTATAAAAGATACGAGTACTTGTATTTGTTTGCGTGTTTTGGAAACAAGTTAATCGAGTTTTAAATTGGTTACGTTAACTTCCCACATGAAAGATACAACCCGAAGTGATTTTTCCCCCAACACCCGACCCTACACGACCCTTTCATGCATGGTTTACCAACTTATTTTGCGTACCGCGGGTTGGTTAATAGCCAACCCGAACAAATCGGGTAGGCCCAAAAATATTGCAAACCCGACCCAACCCGTCCGATGTGCAGCCCTAGCTCTTAGTAAACAGGCCCTAGCGGTTTCTCATTCAGCCATCTCCGGTCCAGGCAGTCCGTATGGTCAAGCCCCACATCTAGTTGACCCAGCCCAACGTATTGGCAAGCACAAAAGTCCAGTCCAGCCCATATGACCTGCCACTATGATTTCGACCGGTCTGACCAAAGATACTAGTTAAACCGGGAAAGTACTCCGAGTCAACCCAAGGATCCGAACTTGGGCACCATCTGGCAGACTGGCACCTTCATTGCCCATTGGCCCCTTTTCATTCATGGATCTGAAATCAGCCACCTCTCAGTAGCGCAACGCGCCACCGCCATCTTCCGCCGGGACCACCGCAAATTGTAAAACCTGTAAGGAGTAATGGAGGAGTACCCAGATGAACTCCGGACTCCACCGATTGCTCTGGTAACTCTAGTTGGGTGCCCGGATCTGCACTCATCGATCACAGCACACCTCCATGCGGAGCAGCCTCCGATTAATGCTCTGGCGCTACCGGATTTCTCCAAGATATCGATACTATCAAAGCATCCCAAGGACAATTCAGCTCCAGCACAAACAGTCGGTGGCATCTTAAAGAGAGATTGGCTTTCCAAGCATCGGACTAGAGTTCCTGCCGTTGTGGCTGCCATTTTTAACTCCGATCACATATCCGGAGACCCCGCTCAGTGGCTTCAGGTCTGCACTGATCTTGAAAACCTCAAGTATGAATCTTTTGTCCCTCTTATGCCACTACAGTACTTCACTGGTGATACATTAGTATTTTCTATTTAGTTTGCATATGAACGCCTGTTTTAATGGAAGTGCGTGTGTTGATATTTGGAATGTGGACAGAGCAGTGATACGAGGAAGAAATAGCAAATTGGTAGTGGTGGTCGTTGTATCTCATTCAAAGAGTAAAGGCAGGTCTTTTTCTCTCAATTGTATACATATTTGTAGCTTTTCATTACTAGGAGATGGGAGTTTTGAAGTCCTCCAAGTGATTCTAAGCTATTAATGCTTTATTTATTTAATTTGATTTTTCTGTGCTACCTTTGTATAGCCCTGTAGTTGAATGCGCGTGGGTGTGGGTTGTTGTGCGTGTTATGGGCTTCTAAGAATTGAGTGAGAGTGCATAGTATTTTTAGTTGCTGAATCTTTATGCACTTGTTGATATAATGTTTATTTATTTATCCACATGTCTTCTTCATATAGAGGGTTTTGGTTGTATTGCTCTATATGTCTGTTTGTTGTAATTTGTAAAGTAATAATGAGAAAAAATGAATGCAAGCAGAATCTTCTACCGAACACACGTACGTTGATATTCCTATTTACTAATAGTTGTGTTAAATCTAAATTCCAATATTTTATTTAGTTTAGTAACCTTTTTTTCTGCTATGTAATCATAGTATGGTGAACTTTTTACTTGCAGATGAACTCAGTGAAGATCGTATGACTTCCTTGAGAAAGCGTGCAGAATTGGACTCAAAACACCTTATTATATTTGTCCCAGATGAGCCATCAGAGCTTCACCAGTCCTTAAACAGGCATCTGTTCTGTCCAGGACTATACTAATATACTATACTTGATTCAATTTGCATATTTGTAATATGCATTGTTAGTAACTTGATAAATCTATTGTAGGCTGACAAGTGCATTTGCAGAACTGGCGAATGGATATTACAAAGATGAAGGACGAAGAATTAAAACACGGCTCGAGAAGAAAAACTTTACATCTACAGAGTTAAACATTCAATATTGTTTCAAAGTAATCAATCTTTTTTCAAACGGATTAGATACTAGAAATTTGTTGTGATATTAATGTTCAACTTCCTAAGGGTGGGCATGGCTGGGTTGGCTTTTGCCAAATCCAAAACCAATTCCAACTTAATTGTGGTTTGGCTTGTATGCAATTAAGGCTTTGTTCAGGTGGTTTGGAACTTAACATCATGTTCATTTTATAAACTTTAAAAGTGAAGTCATTCTACAATCAAATTAAATAAACTCAAATTATAAACTAAATTTTAAAATAATTTTCTTTGCCATTTGACCAATACAGTGTTATTGTACTCGGTAGAAATAGTGTATGTGTGTGTATTTTTTAACTAAGGGGGTTGTGATGGGCTAATTGGGCTTGATTTACTGGTCCTTTAACTCTTAAAAGTTTCTTGTTATCTAGTATTATACTCCGTATGTAGTATATAGGATATGAGTGGTTGAATTGGCTTGGTTTGTTTTTTCCTCATCAACCATCCAACCGAACCAAAACCAATTTTTTGAGGAAAATAAAAACAAACTAAACCGCCAAAATTGTGGCCACTCTAAGACTTTTAAGTTCCATTATAGCCATGACTATGAACTTCCCCACTTATGGAAGCTCAATCAATGTGCTAAGATTTTTCATCGGGATCCTTGCTATGTGCTTTCTTTTGTGCGATTTGCTTATGTTTCGACATCCTTTGCTCCCCTTATTGTGAGTTGTTGCTAGGTTGCTGTATATGCAGAGTTCCGTAGAGATTGGGGTGAAGCTTTGAGGATGTACGAGGATGCATATCATGTGCTCAGAGAAGTAAATTCTATTTTTTTATTATTGAAGATTACTCTAACGAAAATCTTTCTTCTGTTCACTTTCTTATTCTTTTGCCACCAACTTCTCCTATTATATCAAAATAATATATTTGTCTGTTATGCAGATGGTTGCTACATCAACAAGATTACCTCCGATTCAACGTTTAGTTGAGATCAAAAGTGTTGCTGAGCAGCTGAATTTTAAGATCTCAACATTGTTACTACATGGTGGAAAACTTTTAGAGGCAATTACATGGTTTCGGCTGCATACTTCTTCTTACAGGCGACTTGTAGGGGCACCAGAAATCACCTTTCTTCACTCGGAGTGGTTGAGCAGGCAATTTTTGGTGTTCGCGGAACTGCTAGAGACAAGCTCTGCCACTAATCAGAATACTTCATCCGTAGTTTCAAGCAATGCAGATACACCAACTGAGTGGGAATTTCATTCGGCTTATTACTTCCAGGTTTTGGAACTCTTCTTTTAAATGCTTCTGTTGCAGGCTCTAAATCTATCTCCTTTTTGTATAAATGTAGGATGTAGGATGCTATCATGTTTACAGTGGCAGAGTTAAACACTTTGTTTGGTTGGGGTGAAATAAGAAAAAGAGGAATGTGAGGGAGAGAAATAGATGAGAAGTGAGAAGCTTCTCTTGCTTGGTGACTAGAGAAATAAAGAGGAGAGAAATGCAAATGGTGGGTCCCACTACTTTTAAAAAACAGAGTATTTCTTATCTCTTGTAGGGATAGATAGGAAAGAAGTTGGTATCATCTTAATTTCAACATATTTCTTCTCTATTTCTCTCCTACCAAACAACACAAAAATATGTCTTTTTTCTCTACCGCCTATCTTTTCTTCTTTCTCATTTAAATTATCCTCTATTTTTTCTTTTTCATAAAATTGCTCCAATCTTCTTACCTTAAAAGCTAGAACTCTGTGGAAGCTACATCGGCTAACCTGTTATTTAGGAGTGATTCCTCTATCTAGATACTTGACATGAAAGTTATAGGGCCATCTACATAATTCTTAAGTATTAATAGTTCTATCATACAGTTATCCGCACAATACTTGAAGGAGAAGAGTGTTGCTTTGGAACTTGCCCTTTCTATGTCAGAGCATTCAGATGAGATAGATAGCAGTGCAGAGTCTGTGATGGCTTCGACGTATACCGGTCAGTTTGGGAGGCTTCTTGAACATGGAGAAACTCTTGCCATGCAACCGTGAGTATAAGAGTTTTAGTTACATTCATGATTTCATCCCCACTGTCCATATTCCTTTAATCCAAAAATATATATGCTTGATTGCTTGTGCAGTCTTACCGATGAAGAATATGTGCGTTATGTTTTATCTGAAGGGAAAAGATTCCAAGATTCCTATGAAATTATAGCACTTCTTAAAAAATCATCCCAAGCATACAACAGCAGTAAAGCCCTCAGGATGGCAGCATACTGTGAACATCAAATTGCCAGGGAGCATATTTCTATGGGACAATTTAGTAATGCAAAAGAGATCTTAGACAATGTCACAAATCTCTATCGACAGGAAGGATGGGTAACCTTGTTATGGGATGCCTTATGTTACTTGCGGGAATGCTCAAGGAGATGTGGAACCGTGAAAGATTATGTTGAGTATTCACTTGAAATGGCTGCACTACCAATATCAAGTCTTCCACAAAGAGAAACTATACACAAGGAAGTGCTTGCAGTTGTCAGAGGGGAGGAATCAGGGAGTGAAGAGAATGGACTTAGAGTACATGCTGATAAGCCTCTTTATCTTGAGATTGATCTTGTGAGCCCCCTCAGGGCAGTACTTCTTGCATCAGTTGCTTTTCATGAACAAATAATTAAGCCCGGAGCGCCAACAATGGTTACTCTGTCTCTGCTGTCACAGTTACCCCTTAATGTTGAGATTGATCAGTTAGAGATTCAATTTAATCAGTCCGAATGTAACTTTATCATCGTGAACGGTCAAAGGTCCCACTTAGCCGCAATTTCATGTGTGCAGCCTGGTCGCCGAGTTAAGACTGCTCCTACCTTGGAACTCATCACAAACAAATGGGTGCGGCTAACATATGAGATAAAATCTGGTGAGTTAGTTGTCTTTGTTATAATATTCTGACTCTACAAGTCAAATTAAATTGTTTTAAATCCTGGGCCTATATTCTCATGCCCAGTCAACACTCATCATACCCCAGGCATCATGTTACGCACTGTTTCTGCTTATTAACCCGCTGATAACAGAGATGCTCTTTCGCAGGCATTATAATGCTGCTAGAAAAATTATTGTTGTTATATTGCAGTTCAAGTGTTCAGCATACTGCTCCTTAGAACTTTTCCAGTCCTAGAAGCTTTTACTTGGGACAAATCATGGTTTGTTGAAGTAAATTTTTAAAGTTAATAAGAGGAATAGCTTCTTGTGAAATTTAAGCCTTTCCTAACTAGTAAACTAGTTTAGATAATCGAGGAAAGTGTCAGTTTGGTACATCAAGTTGTAAGCGGAGGAGTAAAGAGTACATCATTGTGCAACTGGGATTCAGAGGTACACTAATCATGGGCAAAGCAGTGCTAATTTAGTCCATCAGGCTATTAGGGAGTTTAAAACGCCTAGGTGGCAAGTATTAGCCTAAATGGTGGCGCCAAGTCAGCTTGAGTAGGTGACCTCTGACCTGGGCATGACCATTACCTTAACCCGACCAGGTGATGTCGGCCTATTCGCAAAAACATCCTCCATGAAGTGAGCTTTGAAAGGTCTGCTTTCTTCAACCCTAAGGATCACCAATGGCTGGGAGAATGAGAACGCGAGCAGATGCAGCAGCCATGCACTTAGTGGAGACGAAGAACGCCTGGAGAAGCTTCTCCGGCCATGTCGTGTTCCAGTTTAAACGATCAAACAAAAAAAAGACAAAAAGAGAGAGGGAAGAACGAGCATTGCTGGAGATTCGGGGAAGGAACGAACGCCTCAAAAAAGGAAAGAACGCCGAAGCACCGTAGCTATGCTCGCTGGACCGTTTCCACGTTGGAGAAGAGAACTTAACCGTCATCACCGGGGACCTGAACCGTGCCTGCGGAGTCACCGATATGTGAACGAGAGAGAGACCAAGACTGCAGTAGCTGCTTCAGAGAAGAAGGAATCTGCCGGAGTGCCGTTTCGGCTCTGGAAGAGTTGCAGAGTCACGCACCAAATTGCTGCTACACGAACTGGAGAAGGTCTGTAGTACAAGTCGCCACCTTGGACGGATTTTATCCAACTGTAGCTGTGCCGCTGTGACCATCGCATCGCTGAAGGCTGAAGCAACCCCTGTGTCGCCAGCACTGCGTGAGAACAACGAAGAAGAAAGCTACAGTACATATGGATTCTACATATATATTCCATACTGCGTTAATGTTTACCGTATTAGTTTGGGCCACTAGACTGTAGTTTATAAATCGGACCTTCTAAGTTGCACTAAATGAGATTAATATAATACACAAATGAAGTATTATGGACTTATCGGGAATCCGTCTGCCACCTAGGCGTTTTAAACACCCTTACACCCTAATAGCCAGATGGACTAAATTAGCACTGTTTTGGCGATTTAATGTACCTCTAAATCCTGATTGCACAATGATGTACTCTTTACTCCCCTGCTTACAACTTGATGTACCAAACTGACACTTCTCTCTTAGATAATCTATTGATGCATTTAATAAAACCTGTAGATTGTATAATTCCAAATATCTAATTGATTTTTACAAGCTTGAAACTATTAAAATTTTAAAATTCACCTAATTAATGCACGTCATTGATCAAAAGTCTAAACCTTCTTTTGTATCCAATTATCCATACAAATTCTCTGTTTAAAAATGAACTTTTGATGTATATTCAACCAAACATGTTGAATATTTTTTCGATTATTTTCTAAAGTTCATAACTAAGTTGATTATTTTTAAATAAAAAGTAAGTTGCAGCCACAGCAAAAAAGGCACTAATATGGTGTTACCAACTTATTTGTTCCTCTTCTCCTTCCCTACTCGCTGTCTATCTTCAACTTTACTGCTTTTTACAGCATAGAGATTTTACTCTTTGTTTTCGGCAGTCTTCCCCTTTCTGATAATAATAATAATATGCTGGTAAGCTGACTTGTTGAAAACCTTACACAGAGCTCAGCGGGAAACTGGAGTGCATATATGTGATTGCCAGAATGGGGCTGCATTTCGTAATATCATGCAGAGCTGAAAGTCCTGCCTCGATGAACGATCTACCTCTATGGAAGTACGAAGACAGAGTTGAAACCACACCAACCAAGGATCCCAGTTTAGCATTTTCCGGTCAAAAAGCTGTCCAGGTTGAAGAACCGGACCCACGAGTTGATTTAAGCTTGATCTCATCTGGCCCCGCATTTGTTGGTGAGAGATTTGTTGTTCCCGTTATTATTAATTGCAAGGGTCATGCAGTCCATTCCGGTGAGCTAAAGATTAATCTGGTGGACACAAAAGGTGGTGGCTTGCTTAGTCCCAGGGAGGCAGAATCATTCTCAGTAGATAATCTCCATGTGGAGCTTGTTGGCCTATCTGGACAAGCAGATCAATCTGAAGACAATTCTGAGAATACACATAAAATCCAACCCTCGTTCGGATGGGTTTCTGTTCCTTTTCTGAATGAAGGAGACTCGTGGTCTTGTAAATTGGATATTAGATGGAACCGCCCTAAACCCATCATGCTTTACGTGTCACTGGGTTACTACCCACTTGGCACCGAAAAGAGCACACAGAAAGTCAATGTGCATAAAAGCTTACAAATTGAAGGGAAGACTGGTATTATGATGAGTCATCAGTTCATGTTGCCGTTCCGGCGAGACCCGCTTCTCCTATCAAAGATCAAGCCATCAGCTTCTGAAGACCAAACTTTACCTACTCTGCCCTCAAAAGAGACCAGTTTTCTCATTGTCACTGCTAAGAACTCCACAGAAGTGCCTCTACTCTTAGTTTCAATGTCTACAGAGGCCAACGATGGGGATGTCATAATGGGTCCCACACGCCTCGTCGCTGGAGAAGAATTCAAGAAAGTTTTTCCTGTTACCCCCGATGAAACACCTACAGTATTGAAAATGGGAACAGTGTGGTTGAGATGGAGAAGGGATTCTGGAAGTCATAGTTCTGATGAGGTTTTGACCAAACACAGCCTTCCAGATGTGAGAGTAGAGTCTCCTCCTCTAGTTCTGAGCTTACATGTTCCTCCTCACGCCATACTCGGTAATGCGTTTTCGTGTTCAGTCAGAATCAGCAACAGAACGCCGCTTCTCCAGGAGATTAAGTATTCTTTGGCGGACTCGCAGAGTTTTGTTCTGTCTGGGTCCCACAATGACACAATTTGTGTCCTGCCCAAATCTGAGCATCTTCTCAATTATAAAGTTGTACCCCTTGCCTCGGGGTTTCAGCAGCTTCCTAGGATCACTGTGACATCTGTTAGATACTCGGCTGAGTTCCAACCTTCAGTTGTGGCTGCCACTGTTTTTGTGTTCCCTTCCAAGCCTCGTTTTAAGTCAAAAAGTTATGCAGTAGAGACAATAGAGGGATCATCGGTTGGAGCTGAACAGGTTATTAGTTAATGGAACATTATTTTGTATCTGTTGCAACTTTAGTTTATTGATTAATTGAGCAAATTCATCGGTTACTAACTAAAGTTATATTATTAGAACTAAAATTACAAAAATATGTGACCTCCCCAACCTGCATGACACATGGGCAAGGGCTAGCCGGCTAGGGGGACAATAACTAGTATTGTTCTAAAATTTCAGGACAATCTCTATTAGAGCCTTCAAATTGTTCCAAAACTTCATGACCCCTTCTAAATGCCAAGTCTCTAGCTCTATAATCTACTTGTGATTTTTCCAGTTTATGTATATTGTAGACATTGTTTTATCTTCACTTTAATGATTTAATCCCATTTAAACATTAGAACCTAATTGGCTACCTAGAGACCACTTCGTGCTTTTTACTAAAGAACCGTACCCTCCTTTTGGCATCCCAGAACCGAGAGTCCGAGACAGATGGTTTTGGTAACCTTTCTCAGTTAATTGTATTCTCAGTTATTTAGGCAAATTGGCATTTATAGATGGGGCTGTTATCAAACCAAGATTTTTTTGAACTATTCGAGTTTGAAACTTTGAATTCGATTTCCAATATGACTAACCAAGCTTAATGAGCTCCGAACTCGTACACGAGCTATATTTTGAGTTTGAATACTTATTTGAACCGAGCTCGAGCATAGTAGTGTTCGGTTCGATTCGAGCTTATCGAACACTTATAAATTATAGGAATAAATTATACTATATATCTTGAAATTTAAATATATCCTTTAGAGCGAATTTATAAGCTTAGTCATAATTATTAAAGATTTGAATACTTGTCGAATAGTTCGAGAACAAACCTATTAACGAGTAGAGCCTAAACATCTTCATTAGAGCATTTTTATTGAGCTTATCGGGCGCTTGAATCAAACTTTGAATATATATCAAGCCAAACTCGAGCTCCATTAGTAAGCTCTTCGAGCTTCACACTCAGCTTGAGCCCGAGTATCAGTATTCCCTTAATAAGCCGAACTCGAGAAATGCATGTTAGATGCTTTGAGTTTTCATATACCAAAAAAGGATATTGATTTTAACCTCTTCGATTGATATGAGTAGTGTAAAGCTCCAACATACCAAAGTCCAAACTCAATCTTTAAACAAAAATATTATCTTGATAATTGTGGGTGGTAACTTTTAGTACTTTCACATCTATTTGTGGTTCTGATATGTCTATTCCATAAAGTTTTGATGATTTACATCATATTACGGTGAGATTATTACTTCATTTTTAGTGAGTTATTTCAGCGCCAATGCATTTGAAAATACTAAAAGTGTGCTGAAACCAATGCATTTGGATACATGGTTTGGAAATTACGTACTCTGAAAAATTTTGTTCTTTAAATCTATGATCTACACATTTCATTTCATTTCATTTTAATTTACCTCAGAGCCGCAAAGGCACTGTAGTCATGTACTAAAGCACAGAGAGACTATTTCTGGATGACCCATAGTGAAAAATCGCGTCCAAAATTGCATGAGCATGTTCATGATAACAGCCCTATCTATAAATGCCCACATATATATGAATTTGATAGCTATTATATGTAAAATAGCTAAAATGGTCATCTACACTAACTTCAGCCAATGTAGTCATAAAAGTAACTCCAACCTTATTTTTTCTTATTTTTACACAATTCAGCGCGTGAAAATAAAAATTACGTGTTTGGTGAAAAAGTTGGCTGATAAGCATGATAAGCCAAAAACAGTGTTAACAAACGGCCTCTTAATCAGAATGATAAAATCAAAACACAGAAGAAGCCGGAGCCCGGAAGAGATGAATCATATGTAGCAACATGGAACTCTTGGCATGGACTCACGGGCGGAGCCAAAAGTCAGCTGACCACTATAAAAGTGTAAGAGTGTAGAGCTCTAATGACAATGGCGGATCCACCTTATTCAAGTGTATTGAATACCCAAATTTTGAAACTAAATTACAAAACACATGTATAAATGGATGAAATAATCACTAGTTTGTATTTTTTTTTTATACTATGGAGTACTTTCTTAGTTTTAATTAAATTTACTATTTCTTTTGTTGTTGAATCAAATAATACTCTATAAATTGTTGGATCAAATAATATTATCATTCAATGTTTTAATGATACAATAATTTGAACACTCAAAATTTTATTGCTAAATTCACCACTGTCTAAAATACCTTGGATTTTGACCCAAGTATCGAGTACGAGTAGCTAGAAAGTTGTGAACTTGTGACTTCTGGGTAAAATGATTAAAATTTGGTGCCAATATTGATTATATTTCCAAATTTTAAAAATAAAGCATAATTCACTTATTATTTACGTGACATGGTTCATAAACAAAGTTAAGACACCATGTTTAACTGCTACGAGTGTCTACTTAATAGTCAATTCTTTTACGAAAAGAAATAATGATTTTAAAGCAGATGATAGGGGAACTATAGAGCTCCTATGTATGACAAAGGGTCTCATGACTCTCATCTGAGGCAGCCACCAGTGCGGAAAACCGCCGACATACCCGTATGAAACAAATTTATAATATATAGGAAAAATTGATAGTAATAATCCCAACTATAGGCAGTCTGCTCATAATAATCCCAACTATTGATTATTCCAGAATAATCCCAACTTTAGGGATTTTCCGCCAATAATGGTCCCTATGAATAAATTCTTGTAGTTTCTAAAGTGGATGAGATAAGATATAACAAGTAATCCCTATAAATAATCTCAACTTTTAATTTTTACGCTTAATTTCCTATTTAAAATTCACTTTTTATAGAGGTAATATCTGGTCATGGACCATTATTGGCGGACAGTCTATATAGTTGGTATTATACAAAAATAATCAATAGTTGAGATTATTTTCAGCGGACCGGCAATAGTTGAGATTATTATTTTCAATTTTTCCTAATATATATGTGACATATACATCAAATCTGTAATTCTTTGTCTCATTTAAAAAACTGCAACGTATTTATCTAAGTTATACTCCCTCCGTCCCGCAAAGAAGTTCCCGGTTTGACCTACGCGCATATTAAGGAAATAAACTTACCAGGGGGTAAATTTTACTGTTTACACACGGTTTCAACACTGTTTGACACTGTTTTGCATTGTTTGGCACTGTTTTGATGTAGATAACTTGCTATTTAAGGAAAGAGAAACTTCTTTTTGGGACTACTAAAAAAGGAAAGCGAGAACTTTTTTGCAGGACGGAGGGAGTATTAATTAAAAACGGTCCAACATTCTAATTCTTTATATGGTTGATTTTTTGTGGTTCAGCCACTCCAGGACTGCCACTTTTCACTTTCTTTTTGTCACACGGGGAGTTCGCCAAACATCACAAAAACTATACTAGTCGAAATTCGAAAAAGTATACTACTAGGAGGTAAGAGTCAATTGAGTACATCAACGTGTATGAGGTGGAGTAAAGAACACATTATATTGCATTTGATCTTTTAAAGTACACGAATTCGGGTTTTTAGTGTTAATTGAGTACGCCCGTTAGATTAACACGTTAGTACGGGTGAGTTGGCTCATAAAATTCTAATAGGTCGACTTTTTAAAGGTCGACGTCAGTCCCCAACCACTTAATCGACTTCCCTTTGGTCGACGTCAGTCCCCCGCAGGTCGACTTCTCTTTGGTCGATGCACCCGTGCTGGCCGACGCCCCCCTGCAGGTCGACCTCTGAAGGTCGATTTTCCCTTTTTGGTCAACTTCGTGAAGGTCAACACCATAAACTTGGTCCATTAACCCTTCTTACTTGACATTTCGTTAGCCATCTCAACTGTATTAACGTGTTAATCTAACAAGTGTACTCAATTAACACTAAAACCTCGAATTTATGTACTTAAAAAGATCAAATGCAATATAATATACTCTTTACTCCGCCTCATACAAGTTGGTGTACTCAATTGACTCTTTTCTCTACATATAAGTGAAGTGAAAGTAGAGTATGATACCATGTTAAGACACAGGGTTTCATCCTAAAAGGTCAACCTGATAGGAGGAGTAATCCAGATCTTAATATAGCACTTTGCTACTTCACAATTTTCCGGTGTGGGACTTTTAACACCTCTCCTCACGACCAGACACTTTGTCTGGATCGTGCAGTTATTCATTTTTTCATCGGTGTCTTTTTTTAAATAATCGTTCCATCATTTTTCATAAGGGGCCCCACACCATCATCAACCTGGCTTTGATACCTTGTTAAGATATGGGGTTCCATCCTAAAAGGTCAACTTGATAGGAGGAGTAATCCAGATCTTAATATAGCACTTTGCTACTTCACAATTTTCCGGTGTGGGACTTTTAACATGCTTGAGATAAAAATAAAACTAAAAATTACTATTAATAATGAAGACAAAAAAAATTCTGAAATAAGAACAAGAATGTTTCTACTTGATTGGACTGAAACTTTCTAGTCTTGTCTGATCTGATCTAGTTTGATCTTTTCTGGTATTGTCTAAATTGGTTTGATTTGATCTGGTAATTAATGTATGCTCTTTGAGTATTTTATAATTGTCAAAATATGGTATGTTCTGATCTGGTCTGGTCAGATAAGATCAAATCTCTTCTGGAACTGAAATAAGTACAAGTAAAAACACGGGTCTGTGCATAAGATTTGTGCAAGAAATTAAAGACATAACATTGATCATGATTTTTTTTTGGAGATATGCAATTCTAGTCATAAAATTTCAATTATACTTGTTATTAATTTTGTACCACTTGCAGATCTTGTAACTAATAAATGTGTCCATTTTAAAGACTTATCCATCGAAATTTAAGGAAATAAATTTGACTTTACTGTAAAGTATACTGTTTGACACTGTTTTGTGTAGATTTATTTGCCAAATAAGGTAAATAAGGAAGTGTAAAGTTTAATATGGGACAACCCAAAAAGGAAATTGTAAAGATTAATGTGAACCGGAAGGAGTATTACTTTTCAAGAAAATGACTATTTTTAAGGATAATTAAAATATCAAATAAGGTAAGCAATGTTTTGGGTTTTTTTTACTCCAGGGGGTCTAGGGGAGGGGGTCTGGGGGGGTCTGAAACTCACTCCATTGAGTTTCAAACCTTTATGTACATAACGGGTTTCGAACTTGAGACCTCCCACAATGTTTTGTGGGATATATATAATAGTGTTTGTTTTTTAAATTACTATGCACAATTCCTATCTTCTTAATTTTTTAATCACATAATTATAATGTGTGAATGTGTGATATGAATTACATACTATGAAGTATACACTACTTAGTTTTTAGTGTTTTAATAAGCTTTTAAGCGAGAAAATCCAAATTTCACAAAACTTTGAAATAAATGAAATGAAATAA